AAAAAAGCTTTGTTACTATTCTGCTTAGGATAAATTAAGAAAACAAATAATCAGTAACAACTTTAATCATTTGTTGGTTAGAGATTTTTCCACTTATAAAAATATATGGAATAAATAATTCAATTTCTCAGGCCATGCAATTATTTTCAATAACAAAATATTTCAAAGGCAAATAAAGGTTATACAGTTGTTAACAAACTTTAGCTTTTAGTCTTTTTAATATTTAATATTACGATTTCATGGCAACTCACTGAGACTTTAAGCATGAGAAACTGCTTTGATCTTTCAACATTAAGAGCAGACTAACAGACATTGGACCCCAGCTAGCTGGCTGAATAAAGACTTTGCTTGAATTTACATCTCTATGCCTGTGTAGTTTGTTCTCTGGAGAAGCCTCGGAAGCCCGGACCCTAACAGATAACCATATCGGTTAATTGTGAAGCTACATCATGTTGGAAAATATTTTTATAATATCACAGAATCATGGACTTGAAACCTAACCGTCATATACTAGGTGTTAGTCACAGGCAAGTTACTTGGCCTCTGTGAACTTCCATTTCTTTATATATAAAATAGAAATAGTAATAGGTACTTTTCAGGACTAATTGGAGGGTTAGCAATAGTGTATGTGAAGCCCCTGGCATAGATGTTCACCTGATATGACTAGGCAGCATATTATCATTTTGATCAAACTGTGTCAGAATGGACATCACATGTGTAGTTTCACTTCACTCTGAATGGTGTTATGGAAGACTTCTCTTTTCTTCACTCTGCAAATTCAACACAAGTATCAAGAAAGTCCAAGTTTTACATCTCTGTATACATGGGGAGCAGATGGATTCTCTTTCTTGAATACCCTGGTGAGGTAGAAGGACTTCTTCAGAAATATTTTTTTGCTGGTCTGTGCTCCCACTTTGGAGAAAGTTGGGTTTAAATCAGAGGATGGGCAGGTGCCTTGAAACCCAGTCAGCTGACAGAATTTTTTAGACCAAAAGATCTAGTTACATGGATACATAGGAAGAAATTTGCTGAAGGAATTTGCATTATAACGTCTTTCCCCATCCACCTCTATTTTCTATTGTTTTGAGAAGTGGCAGGAAAGATACTGGAAGAATCTATACAAGTTGACAATTATATGTCCCACTTTTTGGCCATACCAACCTCTTATGTGCAAGATAAATATTAATGCTTCCCATTTCTTGGGTTCTTGCTTGTGAAATTTCAATTATATGGTTAATGATCCCTTACTTATAAATGCTGTTTCCTTGAAGTAAGAAACAATAAGTTTGGAGATTAGGATAGCATCCAACAAAAGAAAAAAATATTCTAAAGAAAGCAAACTGGAAACTTCTTGGAGTCACCCCCGACTAGATTGCTAGGAAAACAAACAGTAGAGCAAATGTTGCTAATCCTATTCCTGCTTTGTGCCTTTGGCCATTTATGGGATAAAGAAGTGAATCTAATGAGGCCAAAAATCCATTTTCAACCCTACAAGCGATGCATTTAATTTGTCAGGATGTAAATCAGCAGGACCTCTCAGCATGATTGTGTAGTATAATCCTGTCCATAAAGTGTTCCTCCTTGTTCTGCCAAAGAAGTGGTGGACCCCCCCTAAGGGCCAGCTCACCGACTTGGCAGCTGAAGCCCCATCATACACAAAGCTGGTAAGTCACACACCCAGACACAACCCCTGACATTCCTTGGGGAGGAAACAAAGCTTAATTTAGATAATCCCCTTTGCACAGCATATTAGCTGATCCAAACTAGACCTGGCCAACTAAAGGCATATTCTTCCTACATTTCAGAGATGCTTCAATGCAGTAATTGCTTTTTGTTGCATTTGGAGGATTAAAATTCATTTGAAGAATAGGTAGCAATGATCAATAAACTATTTTAAAAACATATAAACAGCTTCATGTTTGACTTTGACCTCTATCCCTTTAAATGTGGGGGGGAGAAGGGCACATTTCTTTTTTGCTCTAGAAAGTGCTTGGCAGAGTTCCTGTAGTTCCATTTCATATAAGAAAATAAATAATAACAAACAAAATAGGAAAAGTATGCTGTGTATCACAAAAGAGTATTTTTTAATATATATATATATATATAT